TTATCGTCAAGTCAGTATACTCAACACTTTTTCCAAAATTTTTGAGAAAATTCTAAAGGAACAGCTCAGTCCTTTCCTTGAAAAGACTCTTTCAATTTTTATTGCAGCTTATAGAACAGCTTACAGTACGCAGCATGTTTTGATTAAACTTGTAGAAGAGTGGAAATCTAAGCTTGACAACAATTTTATTGTAGGGTCCGTTTTGATGGACCTGTCAAAAGCTTTTGATTGCATCCCGCATGATTTGATTATAGCTAAACTTCATGCATATGGTTTTGAAGAAAATGCCCTGGTTCTTGTCTATTCCTATCTTAAAAAACGGAAGCAGTGTCCGAATAAATAACGTCTACAGTTCCTTCCAAGAAATTGTATGAGGGTTTTGGAAAATGAAGCCAACAGCGCTTTGTCATGGCTCGAACGAAATGAAATGATTGCGAACCCGAACAAATTCCATGCACTTTTTGTTAAAAAGGACCAGACAAATACTTCTGGCATAAATCTTGATTTTCAAGGACATTCTATCAAATCTGAAGAGACTGTCAAACTCCTAGGTGTAACACTAGATTACAAACTGAACTTTGACCTACATATATCAAACCTTTGTAAAAAAGCTGCGGCACAACTGAACGTTCTTAAGCGACTCAAGTCATTTATTGGTTTCGCTGAAAAATAAGTTCTGGTTCAAAGTTTTGTGTACTCGAATTTTAACTATTGTCCTTTCGTTTGGTATTTTTCATCTTCAAAATCACTTCAGAAAATTGAAAGGATACAGGAACGCGCGCTAAGATTTTTGTACAATGATCATAAAAGTTCCTATGATGATCTTCTTACTAGGTCAAAAAAGTGTACAATGCAAGTTGCTCGTCAGAGAACCCTCTGTATCGAAATATTCAAGACAATTAGAAATTTGAATCCACCTTTTATGCATAGCATTTTTAGTTCAAGAACATTAAAACATCCTTCTCGGAATCCTAATAACTTTAATCATTTTCGACCAAACCAATTAACTTTCGGTTCCAAGAGCCTTAAAGCCATAGGACCTCAGATCTGGAACTGTCTGCCAAATGAACTAAAATCAGCTGACAATCTTAACAGCTTCAAACCTATAATAAAACGATGGGATGGTCCTAGCTGCAAATGCAATGTTTGTAAATATAATGATATCAATATCCTGTAATATTTGACCATTCATATCCAAGTTGCTTCATATATTTAGCTTATGTATGTACGTATTTATTTCCTTAGTTATATCCTCTTCTTTTGTTATGCAGTTGATTCGATTTAGATCAGTTGTATGTATATATCCATATATATATGTAAAGCTAGAAAAATATCGAATTAAAATAAGGTTACAAACATAGTATGATCAAATCGAAACAAATGTTCGGAGTATACCTAGAAGAGATCACCTTTATGGGAGATTTTGACTACAAAGTAGGCAACCTTCATGTAAATTATCCAGATGCTATTGGCAAACACACTACTGGTATTGCCAACAAGGAGAACTCCTGGCAAAATTTTGCACAAGAAATAACCTCGTCGCCTCACCAACACACGATTTCAAAAGCACAAACATTACACATGGACGTCACCAGATGGCAAATCAAAGAACCAAATTGACTTCATTCTAGCTGGAAAACCGTCTGTCCGTCAGAGCATACTCGACAGCACTGTACTCAACTCACCTGATCTATCAGACCATAGAATGGTAAGAACAAAAATCATACTAAGCTTCTCTTGGCCAAAGAAGGTCTCAGTATAACGAAAGTACAACCTAGAACCATTACTCGCAGATGCAAACAACCGTTTCAACTGAAACTGAATAATCGCTTTTCCACTCTTGATGAAATCTCAGACCCAAGTGATGTATTTGAAGAAATAACTACTGGTATTCTTGAAACAGTTAAAGAAGTCTCGCCACTTCAGATATCTCCTCAGTGTAACTGGATGTCTGCAGAAACAAAGAAAGCTATTAGCCCAAAATATAAAATCAGAAAACAAAAAGGTGCTAAGTCATCAGAGTAAAAAATTGCAAAAGCTGAATCTAAAAAGTTGGTCAAATAAGATAGGCTAAAGCAAATCGAAAAAGACATTGACTCCATCTGCAACCTTCCACCACACAAGCAATACTATGCTGCAATTAAGCGACTTAAAAGCAAGCCGTCAAGAAAGACATCAGTTGAGGAATGAAGGCTAAAAATAGAGACATCCTAACTGATAAAAAAAGCCTTCTGAGACGCTGGGCAGAATTCTATGAAGACTTATACAAAGATGATATCCTTTCTTTTGACATTGATGACACTCATGAGGACTCCATACCACATATTTCAAGAAGTGAAGTTGAGAATGCCATACAAAAATTGAAGATCGGCAAAAGCCCAGGATTAGACAACAAATACGCCGAATACTTAAAGGCAGGAGGAGAACCACTCATGAAAGTTCTACTCCATCTATTCTTACAGATTCAAGTAACTGGAACTGTACCACAAAAATTCAAAGAAGCCCTTATTGTCGTGCTTTACAAGAAGAATAGCAGACTAGATTGTGGTAACTACCGCCCAATTAGCCTATTGAGTCATATCTACAAAGTCTATATTAGCATCATTTCATCTAGAGTTAAAAATGATCTCTTTGCTTCGTTCCATGACTCTCAAGCAGCTTATCAACCAGGAAATGGTACCATTGAACAAGTTATTCCATTGGAACAAATCATCGAAAAGTCCATCGAATTCAACAACCCTGTATACATTGCTTTTATTGATTGCACAAAAGCATTTGGCAGCATTAAGCTCGATTGCCTCTGGAAACATCTTGAGAAAACCAACATAAATAAGATATATATTAGGCTCATTACATCAACATACGACAACTCCACTGCATCTGTTAAAACCGATATTGGTATTTCCAGACCTGTCAAGATCCTGAAAGGCGTTAAGCAAGGAGATATCCTGTTAGCACCATTGTTCTGTATCGTCATTGCTACAATCATTCTGGAAGCGGAATCTCAGTGTAAACCAGGATTTTCTATTGGTGGTCAACTCCTCTCTAATCTCACATATGCTGATGACATAGCAGCCATTAATAGATCACAACGAGAACTTCAAACTTTTCTTGATTGTTTAGTAAAATACTCCTCTGAAGTCGGGCTCTACATAAATGTTTCTAAGACAGAATGTATGACAACAGCTAAAAATGATACCTTACATCTCACCATTAACGGAAAGCAAATAAAACAAGTAAATGAATTTGTTTATCTTGGCCATAATTATCTGCTACAAATGATGGAACTGCAGCTGTTAAACATAGAATCGGTCTCGGATGGGTCGCTTTTGAGAAGAACAAACTGCTTCTAACATCTACCAGAGTCCCTTATCATATAAAACAAAAAATATTTCAATACATATATTCTTCCAGTAGTTCTTTATAGAATGGAATGTGTTATTTGGACAAAAAAACTCCAGCAAACGATGGAAATTTTCCAGAATCACATCATGAGATTTACGACCAATCATATACTTATTGACCATATCAAAATTGAAGATCTGCTGAAAACCACCAATCTTACCCCTATCATATCAACCACCAAGAGCAAAGTCACAGAATAAAAGTATTGAAATTATTTGGACACATCAAACGCTCTAAAGTGGGCCTTTCAAAAATCTGCCTGGAAGGCGCTGTTGATGGAAAAAGAAACAAAGGAAAACTAAAGAAACGGTGGCGCGATAACATCTTAACTTGGTAACAACTTGATCTCGCCGAGTTGAAAGTTACTAGCAGAGATTGTGACCGTTAAAAAACACGCAATCTGCCGTAGGCGGAGACAACGAAACACGATAAAAAAGCACAATTTATTATTTAATGATGAATTTTATCAAAACGTGTTTTTTATTTCAATTGAAGTTTTTTGGACATCGACTATTAGTTTTGTCCTTGTTATCTTTAGCTACCATAAAGATTAAGATTAGACTTGCTGGAAAACTATAACAAAAAGATAGTCAAATGAGATATTTTTACATCTAAGAAAGAAGGAAACTGAAAAGATTGCCTTCTCTCAATTGATTTACACCACAGTACCAGGTATTTCCACCACTATGTAAATTGTCAAATTATTCAGGTTAATTCACAATAGTTTAAGAGCTATACAACAGTTTGTTTCAAGATCCTTGGTAAAAGTAGAAAAAGTTAATAAAGATAACGAAATAATTCCATCTTATACAGACCGGAATCAGATCCGTTATACTACAATGGAATTCTTAAGGGTGGCATCACATTTAATCTTGGACTATTGTTATTTTGGCATGGTTCATAAAGTTATGAACGACATCAAATAACATTGATTTTGTGGAAAAAGAGCCAGCACTCATATGACCATATCTACGCGAAATCGAAACGCATTTAACTGATTTCGCATAGGTATTTCTTGATGCTCTTTCAGTTTATGTGACCCAAATAAAAAAATTCTAAAAACAGTTTTTCGTAACGACATCTCTTAAGAACTCTATGATGGGCAGGCGGCGGGCGGGCGAAGATTTCTGGCGTTATATCTTTAGGCGTTTTTCTCAACAACTGTGGCCAGGACTGCAAGCCAAACTAGTCACGGACATTTGAGGCCTATCACGTTCAGATCTAGTAAAAGAAAAATATGGGAAACGAATCGTGAAGGGAATAGCCACAAGATTGTCCATAAACAGTTTCATCTGCATAGGCTTTTGTAAATCTTATTGCCTTTTACAGTCGATACCCAGCCCGTTTTTCCTAAAAATGTTTTTACGATCTTTTGTTTTTAACTCTGCTTTCAACACCCATGATTGGTAAACATCTTTGTACTGGAGTTTCCATAGGCTCCAACCTTCAAGGATGCTGCGCCCAATATATGAATCAACGATGTAGTATTTTTGCGTCGCAAATTGGAATAATCAACAGTTTGGGGACAAATTCAATATTATTCTTTCATTATTGGTTGTTATACATACGCAAAATGAAGTTTCTTTTATTTGCAGACATCCATTTGCATGCGTCTTGCAAAGGAACAATTTGGGAAGGCTTACAAGCAGACACTTGGCTTGGATTTTTTCCTGAAAAGGCTGACATTGCCAGGTACCATGTTTTTTATTTTGAAACATTGAACGCACAGTTGCAATAACAGGGGATTTCTGTAATCGCCAGAAGTTTTCTTGTGATGCAGGCTGATTCAAAATTTAACAAAATACCTCGTGTAACTCTTGAGATTATCACTGGGAAATTTTCTGATCACCAGAATTTAAATTGATCTTCTTGTTACAAAACTCTGCTAAGTCGTAGAAAATACCATAGATATTTTCATTCTATTCCTTATTTTTAATTGTCCAAAATACAATTTCTGCAACTGCAACTGCAACAGAAAGACACATTTACAAAGTTATTGCGTTTAATTTGTGTTGCAATGATGACAAATTATTGTTCTGTTCTAGTTAAGATAAAGCTAAGGTATACAATAACGACAGGACAGTATTATTGCAACGGAGATATTATAAAATACTTCATTTTTCCAGTTATTTTTCTTTGTTCAGCATTTCAATTACTCATCCTGGCCAGCAATAGCTTCCAGCAACCCCAATTTGCTTTGTAGAAAATTTGCTCCTTCAAATTTAAAGCATACATAGAGTAATTTTTTACGTGATTTTTATATATATATTGGAACAGATGATATTTCTTTTGTACTGATTTGCGCTTTTTCGGATCCCACATTACATTTTTATTATACGTATACACTTACTTTTTATCTCTTTGCTGATGATACAAACATCTACTGTGAATCCAAAAATTTACCTAATTTAATTAAAACTGTTAACAAAGAGTTTATATCCATGATAAAAAATGCCTTGATGCTTATAAGTTATCATTAATATCGATAAGACTAATTATATTATCTTCCATTCTTCTTCTGTGAATGTTCCTTCTGACTCTTCCATAAAAATGGGAAAAAATCGTTTTAAAGGGTAAAGTTTGTTAAATTCTTAGGACTCCTTATAGAGCATCTAAGTTGGAAATACCATCTCAGTGAACTTTCAAAAAAAGTAGCCAGAACATGTGGGATCTTTTTCAAAGATAAGAAACTTGCTGCCATTAGATTTTTTACTCTGCTTGTACAATACTTTGTTTCTGTCCTTTTTACAATATGGTTTAATCGTCTGGGATCAAAAATATGCATCCTACATTGAGCCAATTTTAAACTGCAGAAAAAGGCTGTCAGAGCCATATCATTCCAGCCTCCCTTGGCATCCTCTCTGCCAATTTTTACAACTTCAAACTTCTCAAACTTTCTGATCTTTTTGAACTCTGACTTTTAACTTTTGTTTTTGATTCTGTTAATAAAACTTCACCAAGTTGTTCTTAGGGACATTCAATGTCAAGTGTACCCAGAAAAACCTCATTTGCACAGTGACCCTCATAGATTTTGCTGATAATTTGCATAGGTGTAGGACTCTATAAGAAAAGCTCACACGCAAAGTTTTAGGGCTCTAGGTCAATTCGTTTTCGAGTTATGACAGGTCAAAAATTGCAAAATTTCCAAAACCGGGGGCATTTGGACCACACCCAGATTCTCTTAGCTCCTGATTTTTAGCAGCTACAACAAAGATTTCGGTATCAAATGAAAGCTCCTGTAATTCTGAATCTGACTAAAACAACGCAAAAATTCTATCTCTTAGATATTAGATATAGGGGGGTTTTTTATGCCTCTTATCTTTAAAAGGTGCACTGCAGAACTCCAATTTGTAATTGAAAAGCAATAACGAGCTCCTCCTCTAAGTAATTCCCTCCATACAATCTATCGTTTTTCTCTTTGTTAGCGTATATTGTATTAATTTTCCATATCATTGTATTAATATTCTGTAATAGTGTTTTATTTCCTTGTAGTTTTGTTACTTGTTGGTATTGTTATTCATAGGATTGTATGTAGTGAATTTAAATAAAAATGAAACTGAAACTGAAGCTGAAAACTGAAACGTATCTTTTAATTCACGCCATTTGCCATTTCACAAAATATGCCATTTTTCTCTCTATCAGTTACTTCTCTGTTGATGATATGCTTTTCTGTAAGAGCACAAATATTATCTGTTCCACCGCCCTTTGCCCGGCATATGTTTCAAGTGAGATATCCTTTTATTAAAGAAATGTGTTTTATTTTCATGGTGAAGTTCTTTTAGATATCTTTCTGACGAGAACCTTTTTCAATGTTTTTGCTCTTTCAGGCCATATCAATGTCACATTGCAAGTTTGGGACATTGGTGGACAGCAGCTTGGTGGCAACATGCTTGAAACCTACCTTTTTGGAGCACAGGTATTTATAAGAAAATATTTCGTATTTGTCATTATATACTGTATGTCGTTCTCGAGTTTATAACTCGTTATAACCTGGTGATCCTATACTCGGCTAGCTTTGCAGAGGCTTGCAATGCGGTGAATTTCTATTACTATGAACCATTTCAGCAACAGGATGATATAGTTAGCTAATGATTTGAGTACCAGAATGAAATAAATTAGTTTGATAGTTAAAACACGTCTTGGCGTAAATGAGTCGTTTTAGCGAATCTACATCGTTTTTGCGAAACAGTATTAAAACCAACTGTTCTTGCAGCGTTTTCGTAACATTTCAGAATCCACCTTCTATCCATTTTCTGGGAAATAAGAATCAGTCTAGGAATAGAGGATCAGAAATCAGGAGAAAGGCCTAAAGCAGAAGTAATCAGAAAGATTTTCCTGAATAACCAAAGCCTCATTGTCTGAATTAAGACCAAGTCTTTCGCACAGTAGTAGTGAAGAAATTATCGTATTATTTTAAATTATTCCAATCTTTGATACGGTATTTATGACAGTTTTGCCCAGTCCAGCAAATAATAAAATGAATAACCATTTGCCTGGTACAACAGAATTTAGAACATGAAGAAAAAAATTTTCCTCTTCTTCTTCATAACTATAAAGAGAACCAATCAGCTTCCGTAATGAGAAGTCATGAACCATGTTGAGCTTACTGTGGCTCATCTCCATATCAGGAATTTCTCTAATTTCTTTCTGAAAAGATTTTCTAACTGTCAATTTTTCCTCCCGTCGCTTAGAAGAAAGATAAACTTTAACTTTAACAATGAAGAAGAATGAGGTCGGTTGATAAGAAATCCTTTGCCTCGTTTTGCTTGACATCAATAGCAATTTTTCAAATGTTCGTCAATGACATATTTTAAAAGCATTCAACCCGAATTTCGTTTAAGAAATAGAATATCTTAAGCTAAATTCAGTTGAATTTGTCCTTGTAGGCAAAGTCCCATTGCTCGAACCTTTTACAGGTAGAACATTTTTTGGAATAACCAAGGCTTGAAAATAATAACGATGCTGAAAAAAATTTTTAAAGCAAGACAAATTCAAGTTATTATGAAGTCTAATTATCAGCACTCAGTCTGCATCGAATTATCTTAACGTGGCTAAGATACTGATGATTATGAAAGGAGAATATGTTTTTAGAATTGTAAGACAGTCGAAAGATCGTTTTAACATGGATTCTTGTATTAACGATTGTTTCTTCTTTCAGGCCGTGCTTTTGATCTATGATGTTACGAATCACAGCAGTTTTGAAAACGTCAGCGACTGGGTGGATGTGATCAAGAGCACAGTGGGTCCAGATGCTAAACTACCTTATCTGGCACTTGTAGGAAACAAAGGTGAGTCCATTACGTGTACCATATTGGCTTTTTGGCAGAGAACTGGTAGTGATTGTTCCGTTCCCGTCTCAACAGTTCATTTATTTTTTGCAAAATTTAGAACGCTATTGGAACGGTATGCAATCGCTCCTATGTGAACCTTAGTCTGCTTCTGTGATCAGTCTTCTTATTTGTTTATTCGAATGTGCTCCCAAAAAAGAGAATGTAAACCATGATATGATGTTCTTTGTGGCGCAATCTGAACTGTAAAAATTTGATTTGCTCGTGGATTGTTGACTAGAGATTTTCCCTTGAAGATGTAACTGGCCTTCCAACTTAAGATTACTGTTTGTGTTATTGTGCCTAGCTATTTTGTTTTCCTTCCGCACTGCGATTTATACCCAAACAAATCAAACATAACACAGATTCATTATGCTGAATTATGAAAAAATTGGCTGTCTACGGAAATTTAAAATTTCGTTCACAAGGTTCACCATATGCCTCTTCTCTCCGTATTTTTGAAATATGGGGTGTGCCTATCTTGAATATTTAAAGCAAGTGTTCATAGTTTGGGCACAGAAAAGATAGGTTCACTGCATTGAACTGGAACTCGCTTAAAGAGCGTGTGCGTTAGTGCGCGCACTTTGATGTGATCTCATGAATCATACGATTAAATTTCTCTGTTACAATCTAAGTAAATACATTGTAGTTCTCCAACACCTTTGGTCTCGGGGCAGGCCACATCAGACATCACACAATGTGACCCGTGGGTCACGCGTTCTGCAAGCCTGATGAAATATTATTCATCAATAAAGATAACTCTTTAAATGGTTGAAAATGTTTTCAGGAGACTTAGAATCATTCTGTGTATGCTATTCAAGTAAAATTGATTGTTGTTTCTTGAACTTTCAAAATACAATCAAGAAAGTTGCAGTTTAGGAAGATCCAAATTAAGGTTAGGATATTCAGCGAAACGCTAGGCAGCAATGATTGCTGGAGTTTTTTTGGTAATTATTTGGGTTAGTTTGAATACATTTTTAGTTCTCGTTTTGTAAGCTGTTCTTAAATTTCTTTCTAGTTGATTTGGAGCACATGCGTATCGTAAAGGCAGAGAAACATGCAGAGTTTGCCTTGACTAACAACATGCACAGGTAAATGTTTAGCAATGTTCTGTAGTATTGACAAACATCATGCACAATAGCTCCCTAAACCAGATGTTACTCGGCTCTCCAAAGAACTTGACTACACAGCATTAAATTAAGGCACCAACCAAACCAATTTTTGTCATAGATTCACCAAAAAATTTCCATTTTTATCATTATTTTGCTAGGCATTTTTTGAATATCTTGACAAATGCTTTTGTGAATGAACATTTATATGAAACGGTCGCTACTTTGTGTTGCACTAGAATGGTAGATGATACAGTACATCATAAAATATTTGTCATAAAGTAGCATTGAGGTTTCAAAGAATTCAACAGTTCAAAGCATCCTTCAAGAATATATTGTACTCCGTTCAGCTACCAGTGCTAGAGAACTGAGCAACATTCACCAGCCATTTCCTAATTAGATAGGGTTTCAATGTTAAAATCTTTCGTTAAAGGAAAGAACGAGGCTTCCGTGAGAGAGTGCCGTGCTCAGTGACGTTTTCATCAGTTGTAGAGGAAACAAACAAAGCTAGATTTTGCTGATTGGCCTAATTTTAAGATATGCTATGACACGTTTTTCGCTAGTTGAATATTTCGAAAAAACCAAATCAGAACTTTTTCTATTTGTTTTCACGTTGTTGTTTCTTTATTGTAAAATTCGATACCGTTAAGTGTTATTTAATAAATTGTGCGGTGGTACTAATTATTTCTAAATTCATTTTGAAATGGCTTTGAAAAAAGCAAACATTTGAATAAACTAAAGCTTTTCGTCTGACACTCTTGAGAGTCCAAAACGTCAGAACATAGATCGCAAACTCTACGCTAGGAAATATGTATACCCAGTTGTGGATCGAAATAGGCCAATCACAAACACGAGCACATGACTGTTGAGGTTGACCAATCAGTGCCGCTTGCCTATTGAGAATGTTACCAATGGAGTCCAAAGGTGAAAACGAACTCCTTTTGGCTACACAGTAGCGGTTTTTCGTACTTATGTAGATAGATTCCAAAACCTGCTAGATGAGCGACGATCAGGTTTTACCAATAATCCGAAACATGTCGCCATTGTAGTTTTTTGCACAATCTGGGTTTTCCAGTGAATGCTGCCCGATGGCAGAATCGCAGGTTTTAGTTGTAATTTTAGATTTGCAAGACCGAGGTGGCTGTTCTCTTTCGCGACGAGTTTTGTTTCTAATACATTCATTTTATTTTTCTTTCTTTTTCATGAAAATTTCTTCGACCACATGAACATTTTAAAATGCTTTTGACTAACAAAATGCTCATCGTTTAATGGAAAAATGTATTATTTAGTGCTTATCAAAGTGCTGCTAACATCAACATTTTGGATATTTAACTCTAAGTTTGTGCTGTGTAGTGAATTGTGTAGTTATTATAGCCTGTTTCGGTCTGAAAAATGAATTTTTCTTTACTTTTTCCCCCAACCATCGTTAAAAATATTTCAAGAAATTTTCAGTATATGTGCACACATTTTTTGAAGTTCAAATGCTCTTTCATACAGAGCTTGCTCTTTTTGAGTTTCTTAGAAGTTGTCAGAAGTTTCAAGTAAGCTTTACCCAACAAAACATATAGAAACAAAATAATTCAACTTTTCATTAGTATTTGCTCATTAAACAGGTTTCTTTTTAATTGAACATATCAAATACATTCTAAATCATTTCTTCAAAGCTTTTACCAGTTAATCAGCAATTTCAATACCGATTTTATCTATAGCGTTCCTTTTTTGTGATTGATTTTTATGCTTGATTTCCTTTTTTGTACCTTTGCTCATTTTTTCAGCCTTGGAATATCCAATGGAATAATTGTTTCATATTTCTCTTATAAGAACTGGCGTTGATTAAAAATAGGTAGTATATGTGTAACCTGGTACATATTTGAGTTGATGATACTTGCAGATAGTGTATTCACATAGATTATATCCTAAATTTTAAGGAGATCGAATCTTTACCTAGTTACCCCACTTATGGCAGGTGAACCCCTTCCCCAGTATATCGAGAGTGTTATCACATGTTAATTATTAAGAATGTTAATTATTTTAGTAATGATATATGACATGTCGACTGCATGTTCAGTATTCAAGTGTATGGCATGAAAAGTTTTAGAAATTTTGAGATTTTAAGAGCCAACTTTCAAGTAGCTATGCTGATTTTCAAGCAGCTGTAAGAATTTTCATAAGTTCTGTGGGAAACAATATTTCCACTTGTAATTATTATTTGGATTTTATTTTTTAGCTTTTTCATATCCGCAAAAACGGGCGATCAGGTAAATATGCATTCTTTGCTGTTTTCTCTTGTTTGTTCTTTTTCTTTTTGCATTCTTTTTTATTATTATTTGTTTATTATTATATGTTATTGAGAACAATACCTGACCAAATTATAAGCAATTTAGCTTTAAAGATAGAGAAATCAAGAACAGCCTGAAGACCAATTTATTGGTTCTTATATAAAGAACGTAGATGACTCATGTTGTGGGACCTAATTTCTTGTTACTTAGCAGCCAGGTAAAAAAGTCATCTTTAAGTAAACTGACCATTCACATAAAAAATTTATATTTCTGCTTGTTCTACCTCACGGTACAGTGGTTTTCAAACTTATTGTCATTCAATAAAGTGGTTTTCAAAATCTTTGGCTGTCGCTACATCGATTCTCATAGCTATCATATACAAGGCTTACTATCATGTTGATCACAATGACATAAGGGAAAACACATCTAACTCAAGATCAGAGAAGGCGCCTCAGCTGTGCCAAATTCCAGTTGTGCGTGATTACTTGGAATCCACCCCTTGGCTCTTAATTTTATTGTACCATTTCTCTTTGATTCAATCGTTTATCATTGTGGTGTATAATAAAACCAGACAACCAGCTTCAGGGATCTGAGCTACATACCAAGTCATGTAAAAGACCACAGAAAACCATAAGACTTCATGAGCAACCACAACTTAACGTTCTTGGAAAAGTGTTTCTTATAATTCTTTTTTTTCTTGTAATTGATTCTTGTTTCTTATAAAATGGTCAATGGAAGTAAATCTGGATTTATAAGCTATTCATAATGCTTCTACTAATAGCAGTTTGTTGATCTGTCGGTTATTGGTTTTCCTGAAACCCTGCCTGTGATCACTCACAAAGCATTTGTCTCACAAAGTGATGTCACGAGCACTTCTGACTGACTAGAGCCATTTGGCAGTCAATTTTAGAGACTTCAAATAGTGTCTGTCAAATATTAAACTGAAAAAAACTTGGGCTTATTGGTTTTCTTTTGACAAGCAAGCCAGACAAGGAAGACCAATGTTTCCATAGTTCTCTCTAACAACTATGTCACCCTCTTTGCAAGTGCAAGTAACCCTATTGAATATAATGCTGTGCAAATATTAAAGATTCAAATGAGAACTGTATCTATCTGTCTATGAAGAAAACAGGATGGATATGTTGTTCAAGATCCCACACTGTGCATTTGTCTCAAGTTAGTCTCCTTGTGTCTGACTTTCAAATTTTCCTATCTCGCGCAAAAGTGAAAAGAGCGAAAAGAGATGATTAAGAACTGGCTGGTAACGATTTGTCGAACAGCCTTTCCCTGTTCTTGGGTAATTTTGTTGTCTTTGATACCTGAAGGAAACTTTTATTAAAACTGAATAACTTAAGGAGAATTTTTCACCTTTCTTATGAATTAAACAGTGTTTGAAGTCTGTTTTTGTCTTTTCTTGTTAAATCTGCGTCTATCTTATATTTTTATCGCACTTTTCTTTTCATTTTTCATTTGACACACTTCCCATTTTGTAATTAACGCCACTCTCTTAAAAACGCCACACTCTATAAAACGCCGCCTCCAAAGGTTTGATTTTGTAATAAACGCCGTTTTTAGAGGATATACCGTAATTGAATTACAGACGTAAAAATGATGATCAAACTCAAAAATGATTCTTTCATTATTCTTTCATAGCTAGGCGAGTGAAATTAAACATGTTTTGGCAATGTAAATCAAGAAAAAATTTGTTGGGAGGTCAAATTAAGCTGCTATTTTCAAAGGTTCAAGAAAAATTCATGTTTTCGAGTCTATAATAAGCTTCAGAATCCATGTGAATCATTCACAAATAATCGCAATTAGACCTTTGGAAACTCACAATCCTTAATTATTTGTATCAGAGATCCACTCTGCTCACGTACAGAAATAGAGAATGGACTGTTCTGTTGGTTTTCTAATTACGAGTCCCGTTGTCTTACCAACATTGAGCCACAGGCATCTGTAAATGTAAAACATGCCAACCAGGTTCCGTTTGACCTTCACAGATAGGGATGTTCATTCGCGCTTCTGTTGAAATCTCATCGGAAACTGTGGCTTCAAGTCTTATTCGATATCGAGTGCATGAAGGGTGACAGTGTTTCCTACTTCCTTATCAAGGTTTACTTTTTTGAATTAGAGTTTTCTACCAGAAAAGCTCTTTATCTCTAACCACTGTAGGGATATGTGTGAGTCAGTATTGCTTTCGAGATCACCATACTGTTCAAAATAGAACCGTTGCTGCTTATATTGTGCATAATAGCGCCGTCATCTGATGCACAAATAGAACCAAGTGATCTCTTTTATTTATCCAGTCTTCGTTGCTTATGTATGGGCTCTTGCCAGCACATGCCTTTATTCACATTCCTCTATTGATGTTGGGAACTTCATAACCCAACACCCAGCTGGTTACACTCTTAGGCAACGACAAAAAAGAAGTCAAATTTTATCTGAAACAGTTTTCTTGCAATCAATCTACTACATTCATGTTAGTTCAAACTCTACTCGTAACTACTGACGCGAAAAACATAATACATGAAACGTAGATAATTGTGTTATAACCTCTCTGTGAATAATATGAACTCTCCGTTATGGTAACATTAGTATAATTAGTTAGTGACATAATAAAGAAAAAATTATGCATTAACAATAACCGTAAATTGGTTGCTAGGCGCATGCAACCTCGCAGCTTTCCACAATAAAGTTTGGAGTGGTATCTTGCCATACTTCAAACCCATAAAACCCATGCTATTGCTGTCATAAAGTGCCAGCTTTCTGGTTGGGTGGGTGGTTTCGGTGCTCAATACAAAAGAGTTTATCTTTTCACCTGTGAAAAGGAAGGAAATCCCACAAGCTTTGCTAGGTCCTTGAATCTCTGCTTTCGTCGATCAGTCCAAATAAAGCAGGGCACTAACTTCTTAAGTTTTTTGAACAGATTTTTTTATTATTTTTCTATTTATCTTTTTATTTGAATACTTTAGGGAGAGATTAGCCATTTTTTCCAGCCTGGATATTATTAAGTAATTTTTTCTTTGAGCCTGAATATATTTTTAAAGTATTCTCATGTTTTTAAAATCTGATATGGTTTAAGGGGAAAACCCCCACTCTTAGACATATTTTTAAAAACGAGATGTGTCAGTTCTGAGATTCCCTGCTATGACCATCGCAAAACAGACAACTGCTGAAAAAGGAAACACAAATTCGCAAGATTCTTAAAACTTGGATGATTCTGAGCTTGAATATTCTTATAAACAATTTTCTTATAAAAACGAGTGTAAAACAAAATTTGTTAACAGCGAGTAGAATTGATTATTGAACAAATCTTTGATATGTTAATTTAGGGAAGAAGCTGCTAATGAAGACACCTTTTGGAAATTTCCTCTTAAAGCTGCAGTGACAAGTTTTAGTAGCTGTTGAGTTTGATTTTAGTACAACAAAAATTCAAATTCTACCTTTTTATGTTTGCTTTTTTGTTCAAATTCTAAATTAACCAGCCAGTAATTATTCTCAGCTTAAGTAATATAATGTAAGCTTTTAACATTTAAAATCACTCTAATCATCTGAAATATTATTGATCTTGTTTTTCCGAATCTAGGCTTGCTTGTATTCACTCTGCTTCTTTTTCAGTTTTTACTTGTTTTAGCTTTATATATGATTCATCATTCCTATTGCATTGATTCCATCGTATTTTTAATTCTTTTTATTCCCCATTGTGATCCAGTCCAAACTAATTGAAAGTCTCATTTTTGTATGTTCCTTTACTTCTTGTTATTGTTTCATATCTTAAAAAATCCGTATATTAATAGGACAGAGGCGCAACGCCCATAAAATTCACAACTTTTGATATTAAAGGTCGTGTTGTTGCCAAAACGATTTTGTTGACCTTTTCTATTGGTAAACCGCTCCCAGGTTTCGTGTTGTATTCCGTCTTTAGTCTCCAAACGTCCTTTCATTTTATCAACTTTTTCGTTTTCGCCCACATACCCGCTGTATTTACACTCATCCCTACACATTATTCCTGTGCTATGCTAATATTTCCCGTTTTATCCAATCGCTGACTTGATCCTATTTTTAGTTGCTATAGCCGTCTTTTCCATGCTGACACGATTTTGACGTCTAGACATTTAATGTTTTCATACCATTATCATTAGTTTGAAATCTCATTAAATACCATAATTCCTATACAGCGTTTTGCGATAGTCAAGGATGTACCTTAGCTTTAGTTATATATTCTGATATTCGCGTCCTTCCCTTAGGTCGACTATTGCTTCAGGAAAATCGCTGCGGAAATTCTCGGAGTGAAATTATCCAAAGCTGAAGTGGAGAAAACATCCGTATCCTCTCATTAAGTCATATTATTAATGTTTAAAACGATATTATCTGCGATCCTGAAATATTGGGTCGATGTAATTACACTGCATCCTTTTCGGCTACACGCACGCAATCAAAAATCTGAAAGCTTAAGGATAAGACGGTTTAGAATGTTGAAAGGATGCTTATTGCTGCTATGAGCAAATAAGACGATGGCAGTGATAACAAATATTTATGAGATAAGTTTTTGAAAGCTTCGATTTTTTAAGTAAATCATTTGGCTTGGATTTCCATGAGAAGTGAACTTCTAATAACTCGAGAAGAAGGGGAGATATTTGAAACATTCTTTTTGCAAGGGACTGTATCTGTAAATTTTATAATCGAATACGAAATCTGGGACTTTGGGGGGTGTAGGGAATCATGAGGTAGTACCCAAAAAACATGGTTTTCCGGAACTGCTTTTTTGCCATTTGGAAGCTTTTTGCGGACTATCTTGAGGTCAGAGGTAACGATTTTTGCATTTTTTAATCTTATGTTTGGTTATCAAAAATGCAAGTATATGGAGGTGGAAAAATCTGGGCTAGTATGAAAAAACTGGCCCCCTATTTGCTTTTCATCTGCAAATCGTATTAGGACGTATACATATTTTTGACATCACTGTAATGTATGATTGACATTCACAAAATGAAAATTGTTAAAACGCAAAAGCAAAAGTTCACAAAATTATGGGTGACTGTCTCATGCTGTATTCAAAAGTAATTTCGTTATATATATTTTGAAACCTTTTAACGTACACAGTTGAATATTGACTGTTGAATACAAACTGTCCTGTAAAACGGGGACTTCTCTTTCAAAGGCTCATGCTTATGCTTATGCTTATCAGGGGGTAGCAAGAAGGGAACAGAGGGGCCTCAATATTTAAGAAGGTCCCAAAAACGTTTGCAGATCGTACTGAGTTTGAAAACATGCACATGCTGCCTCTTGATCCTCTCTCCCATGACTGTGTTGGTTTGTACACGTTTGTGCATTACCTCTGTCATTTTTTTTAATAATGCCATTTCCTAACTACCCCCATGATGCTTATAACTTAGTTTTAAGACATGCCTACTTCGCCAACTTCGATACACAGTCCATCTGAATATGTGAAGAGGGAATTTCTTAATGTTACATACGTTTCATGCTGTATATCATACAAGAATTGCTGAAATGTATCCTAAAAAATGCATTCAATCTCTTTTTGGCACCAATAAAGAAAATATTGGTTATATATGACATCACTTCCACCCTTGATTCACTTAAGTAAAAGGTCAAAGTCATATGCAAGCCCAAATGCAATGAGGTGTCCAAAGACCCAAGGCCCTTTCTAATTTGGAACTACATTTCATTTCTGATTCTTGAGTAAATTTTTTATGCTTTGGCTGACTGCCAACGTTTTATTTCTAAGGAATCTTTTGTGAGGAATTGTTGCCTCTACCTGAAAACTGCTTTCTGGCTGTACGACTTACTCAGATATGTTGGTGCGAGTGAATTTTGATCTACGTGCTTTTGGTATTACTTAGACAACCCGCAATGAAACTGATGATCATTTTTATATTTTTTAGTGTTTTTTTACCGGTAGTTACTATATCATAGATCTAGAATATATCTTGGTAAACCTATAAACGCGATTGTTTGTGTTCTTAACAGAATTTTAGCGTGTTATCAAAGCAGAAATTGTGAACTACAATAACCTTCAACCAGCAAAGCCTGTGCAGCCACAGACTAAGAGCTCTTTTTGTGTTCTGCAATAACACTTGGTTGCTGATTAGTTCAAAATGTAAGTGACTTGTTCGATGTTTTTCTAACTATAACGAACAGGATGCGAAACTGCATCAAAGCTAACCTAATTTGCAAGCACTTGTGTCTACCTTCCTTTCGTAAGACGAATGGATCACCAGATACAAACAAAACAGGGTGCTGTATCTAAGGATAGGCTTCCTCTGCTCACTGCTGATAGGAAACGGATCCTCATGAGGAATGTAATTGTTTTCGAAACGTTTTCAGTTCCATTTTTTCTTAACGGAGCCCTAATCAAGCGTGGGTTCAAGCATTTGATTGGTGTATCGCAAAACTGATCGCATTGCTCACAAGAAGTGGCTTGTGCGAATTATACGTAATTTTCAAGCTGCCGTTGAAAAATTAGCTGCTCGTCTCTTGGCTGTTCATTCGTATGATTTGCAACAAAAATGGAAGCCTTTTCCCACCGTTAAAATTCAGGCTGGATTTGGCTCCTCGGTATTTTTTCGTTTTTGGGGTCTGGTTCATATGACGTCATTTTGAAGTATCCGCCAGTCATCATTCCTCTATTGGACTCTGGCATCAACGAGCGTCCGTCTATACTTGAAAATTCATGCACAAGTGACCAGTGCTACGAGTCTCGATCAAAAGCAATATAGGAGATGCCTGAAAATATAGCAAGGGCACAAAAGACACAGCTGAAGCCTTTGATGTCAAGAATAAGCAGCAATGAGACATTTAGTCCAGTAAGGCTAGCTTGCTCTAGGAACAGTTAGCTTCGTTCTGGCTGTTTTGTAGAAGCAAATTTATTTGATAAGACAAAGAGCTCAATCTTCTTCTTCAAGTGGAGAAATGTCCTGTTTTAAATGAGGTGTAACACGATGTGTATGACAAGCTAACCCTAGACAACTACTGTTTTTAAGACAGAAATGTTTTTCAGATCATGTAATGTCGAAACGTAAATATCATTACACCCCAAGTATCCTTAGACCCCGTTTACACTTGACCCGAGCGAATTTTTTCTCGATAGAATTTGTCCTAATAGGCGGTGCGTTTACACTAGACCTGGTATATCCGAGCATCTTTATCATCTTGTGACGACAAAGAACCTAGCAAAAATTTGTTTGTGCGCAGAAAGTGAAGTTCTGATAAGACGGCCTCCAGCTAACTGAAAAGAAGTGAGACATGGCCAGGTTGTTGTTGCTTTTGTCACACAATCGTCTGTGCATGCCCCGACAGTACAAGTGTGGTCCAAGCCAAAGGTGGATAGGATTTGTTAAATCTAGTGTAAAAGGGCCGTCCACAGGACAAATTTGTCTGAATAAATTTTGAACGGCACAGTATGAATATGGCCTTAGTTGACCGTTATCGACTCAAATACTTTAGGCAGAAAGCTAGATTCTTTTAGGTCACTTTAGGCAGAAAGAAAACATGTTGTTTTGAAATATCTTTGACATGCAAAAAGAAACGTTGTAAGTTTTTCCTCTCTAAGAATTCAGTGGTTTTGATGTTGTGAGATCTTCACATTTCAATTATCACCCTTTTTGATCTTATCATCATTGCTATTGTGCCCAAAAAAGGCTGTGCAAACACGGCTTTCACCCAAACCATTGTTCTTTTCTTGAAGCCAAGCACCTTGCTTCTTATACCAAACACAGACGTTGCCCCTTCGCTATCATCACCCATTTCAAGTCGTTGCCCAACCACTTTTGTTATTAGCTAAGCATTTTTAACGGTCGCCACTAATTTGTAAATCGATACTTTGATGTTAAACGTCTTTTTGTATTTATTTGATATAGTATTTGTTCTTGAAAGGTCTGTTAGCAAAGTATGATTGTGCACGTTGTGGTGACTCACGATGGATTTTATTCATTAGAATATTAATACTCCGATTTGATTTCTTTCTTGCTGTATCTTTGCACTTCTGCGCCGCTTTTTTAAAACAAAACAACCTAGAAAACTAAAAGGGAAAAACGATGTTTTGTTATCTTGACATTCAAGCACAACTATTCCCCTTCCCGATATGCCAGCCCTACGATATGCCAGAAAATCTCAGCTTTGCGTATGTTTTGTAGTGTTTACAAGGATGTTTTTTAAATGTTAGCGTTTTCTGTTCAATAAAACACATCGAAAGTTTTTCCAAGAAAATGAGGCTTGGTGAAAAGATTGAACGAGTTGTCTCATTTCGTTTCAAGTAACATAGATTTATCGTTGCCTTTTTGGGTAGACATAGGAGAGGAATCCAATGAAACGTTTTAAAACGAATCTCTTGTAGGTGTGGCCTTGCATTTAATTTGGGCGGGGTTTAGAGAGACTTCGAAACGAAGTTGTAAGCTGAAATTTGGCAACGCGCTATTATAAAGCTACAGTTTTTTGAATGAGGAAAGAGATTCTTGTTTTTAGCTGAAGCTGGATGCAGTTCTTCTGATCAACCAACACACATTTTGTTAATGCTAAAGGAGGCTCAAAGCCGGCAGCAGAGATACTTTCATTTCATTTCCGTTTTCGTACACTTTTGGTCATTTTAAGAAACACTGTAAATAGCATTAAAAATCGACTTGTGATTGCTTATGTTTCCTTAGACACCTGTGATTACTTAATTAGTTACAGAAAGCTAACTGGTCTTTGCTTATTTCTATCAAAACTTTGCAGTCGTTACCTTCCGCATTGCTCTTTAGGTTCTTATATTGCTCGAAGAAGAAAGAGGGGTTTTAATCGCACTGATGCACTGATTAGGTATCAAGAAAGTGCGCACATGTACCGGTAAATAATTTGAATGGGAAATAGCCCTTTTATGTCATCCACGGAAGTCTGTCATTACCCAACTGCCTCGCTCTGATACTGAGACCGGAAAGTTCATAGTCACATGGGTCGTAGCCTGCAAGAAGGCCTCGTGCACAAGATTTCGTATATTATTCTCCCTACTCCCTTTCAAAATATTGTTCGTTCAGTTTTATCTATTTTTTTCCTGTTGCATGTATCTGTGTGGTTGTAACTACTATCTGCTACTTTTTCAGAAACCCTTCATTTTTAAACAGTACTTTGTGTTCAGAGGACCTTTTGCTGGAGTTCTACCTTTCGAAAACCAAACTTGCAAGTTTTAACTGGTGGTTTTTGCCATCCAGAAGTAAAAAATGTCGAAAGGAATGAACGGTGGGTGGAAACAATCATTCCAGTAAGCTGTTGCCCAGGCAATTCAAAAGTCGAACATTTTAATAAAATCCAAAATTACATCTGTCAAGAGATTATAATACCCAAATCAATTCTATTTGATGACAAAGTCAATGAAGGATTGTTTTATATGATGATCCATAGCCGTGATGATGATAAGATCACTTTAAAACCAAAGAATCCACTCGGATTTTGTAGTCTGATAAACAAATGAAGAGGAACTACGGACCAAAGGCTCTGTGTTTGAGAACGTAAAGCCTGCAAAACACACCCATATTCATTTGTGCATGGTGTTCTCTAAAAAGGTGTTCCCTCTGCAGAGCGATACTGATAAAGAAAAGGACAGTTTTTGACCGAATTTGTACCAGTAATCCAAGGAAAAGATGCCCTTTTGGACATAGTAGATATGAAGTTTATTTGGCAACAAGCCCCCAGAGGGATACTCTCTTATCGGGTCACACTAGGGATATGCGGCAGAAATAATTGGGGTTCTGAAGGAAAAAACCTGAGAATGGGTCAAAATTGCTCAATAAAAACTTTTGAATGGTTACATTTGTGCCACCAATAACCTATGATTGGGTCATTTCCTTACGAATTCTGTCTTGGAATGGGTAGTCTCTTCAATCAGCTACAAGTATATATTATTCGCCTAACCATGCAAATCTGGGGATGGATTTAATTTGGGAAAAATTTGCTCTATTGATCTATCTGGCTTTGAAAGGTGTGGCAACACACTCCTATAAAACCATACTGCAAGTGTTCACCTCCCCAGGCACCAAGCTCAAACTCTATATAAAGGATCTTTGCCCAAGCGGATAGAGTTGCATATGTGAACTTTGTCCATGCAGTTCCGCGCCTTGCATATATATATACATATATACATAGTTCTACAATCTACAGGAGTGCACCTCAGTATTTTCTATAATATTCATCCGTTGTAGCGACATCCGTATTTAAATTTTAAACTACTCCAGTCAACCTCGATGTTCGTTTGCGCACGTTTGATATAATTCCCCTCTTTTCATCTGCAAAGGAATATATCCGAAAGTCTGTGAAACCAAATCGTTTTTTAGAATATCATGCAAATGTTTGTCTGATATTGTTAATATAAACCATGCGAAATATATAGGAATAAGATTCTTTCACAATCACTGCAGAAAATCGATACGCGAATGTACGTTTCAGAGAGCCCAGCGAGCCGTTTCCTGATCTTACCACATCCATTCAATCCAAGTTTCCTGTTTAGGGAGCAAAGTGGATTTTGGTTAAAAAATCGCCTATACTTATCAGCGAAATATAGATGTAAACATAGAAATTCTTTACTGACGTTGTTAAAATGACATTGCGTGTCTCGAGTATGCGACCATCGTGCAGAACCGGATCGAGGCTATACAAGTAATCAGCCAACTTGCCTCCGTACCTGATGATCGGTGTCTTTTTCGTGGATGCTGTAACATATAAATTATTGCAAATGTGGCTTGTTTAACACTAGAAAAACGTAGTAAATCTTATATGCGTTGCGGCTGTCTACCTCATAAACTCCTTTTGGCTAAATTGAAATCATACGTTTTTTTAATAATAATGCAATCAAATTCATGCATTGTTACTTTGAAAATTGAACGCAAAGAGTAAAATTGATCTCTGTTAATAGTGATTAGATGAAAATAAAGAAGGTGTCCCACAAGGATCCATTTTAGGTCCATTGCTTTTTAGTATATACGTCAATGACCGTCTGCTTGAAAAAAGGTAATATATGTATAACTAAATGGTAAATACTAAATGGTAATATAAATGAGCTAAATCAAGATTTGGAATCTGAACTCTCACTTATCATCAAATGGGTCAATGACAATCTATTTGTACTAAATCGATATCAATGCGTTAGCTGTTCTAAATCAAAAACAGCTGACGTAAATACCAATGAACCTATAATTGAAGAAAGTCAAAGCGATACATAAAGAATCTCTGCAAAAAAGCAAATAAAAAGGTAAACTTGCAAGAATTACCTCTTTCATGAGTGGATCCTAACCAGTACTTGTGATGACAACTTTTGTCACATCATTGTTTAATTGCTGCCCCATTAATGGACATTTTATAGTAGGAAAAATAACAACAAATTAACAGGATCCATGAGAGAGTACTTAGAATAGTCTATAATGATTACTAATCAATACTTGAACAACTACTCGTAAAAATCTAAAAAACTATTTGTATATGGTGGGGGTAAATTTACGGTTATGGTAAACCTGCTCGATTTCAAACTATTAACACATGTCAATGTAAAACTTTTGCAACTTATTACTGTTACAATATTATTTTAATATTCTAAAACATTTGATTGTTCTGAGCCTGAATGTTCTTATAAACATTATTCTTATAAAAAAATAATTTAGTGTACAAGTGTAAAACTACTTACCAGTGTAAAACTACTTACCAGTGCAACAAAATCACTTTATCTTTTTATATATATAAGGCTTGTAGGCCGAAATGGCCCATCTCCAACACATTTGCAAGTTAACATAACTACCTAGTACCTTCATAACAAATTAACAATAAATCTCAAATTACAGCAAGCAGTTAATACAAGATAAGAAAATGTGAACATGTTTATAAGCTTTATAGAGTGTAGACGATCGTGGGAATGAATCTACAATCCTTGCCAGAAGTCTTCAAATGCCACACCCAGTTTTACAGGGGGTGGTCGGTAAACCTTCAGTTGGCCAGCAAAGTCCGTAGTTGGTGGGTAAAAACGCCTTTATGTTGGTGACGTGGCACCAAAATAATTCGTTATCTGTGTCTTCGTTGGTAATTTTACTTTTGAGGACCCTCCACGCACCTACCCTGGAAGGTCAAACTACGCTACTGTCGAAAAAAGTGCTCTTTAACTGGGAGGCATATACGTATATGCGTATACAACAGTGATAATAAACAACAGGTGCTCGAAACATGGTCCTCCTAACCCGGATTCGCTTACGCATAAACCAAGGGTGCTTCACTAGTATGAATTGTTTAAGCAAAATAAGATATGAATATGCTAATACTTAGGATTTTCGGTCAATATTGGTGTGATGTTGTGTAGCATATAATCAAAAACAACTAAATATGCACTCACCGTTCTTTGTGAATTTTTAGAATAGATGAATCAATATTGCAATAACTACTAGCGCTTTTTGTTATAGATATCCCGGTATATAGGAACATGAACCAACAACTTTCATTAGTATTGCACCGACGCCTATTCACCGGCTTTTTCCTTCCAAATCCACGTAATATAACCTGATGGTAGCAGGAAGCTTCTAGCCTTTATCGCGCCTCATGTATGGTGTCGTTTTTGTCTTTCGTGTTATCTTGGGCGATAAAGTCCCATTCATAATCATCAAAGAGCGCTGTCTTTAATGTCTGATACAAATGCTACTAAATAACCAGAATGCGCCCCCGTCGTGGTTTATCTTCATCGCATTGATAACATTTATAAAGATATATTTTGATTCGCTAGACCAGAGTGTGCTGTAATTAATAGACTGATGACTCATATCAAATAGTCTCACACATAATCTTCGGATTAATTACAGCAATGGATGTTTCTTGGTTATAGTAACAATACAGACGACTTTGTTTAGGACATTTTTTATTGGCCAGTCTGAAGCAAAGAGCTGTTATCAAAGAACATCATACTTGGCAAGATAGAACATGGTAAATTTTGTGTATGTCAAACACAATC